TATTCTTTTTAACTCTTTTCATTTACTTTACTTTTTTCCATTTCCTTTTGTTCCTTATTGTGTTTTTCTTTCCTAATTTTTTCTTGTTGTATCTTTATATAGATCTTGTGCAGATTTCTTTTTTATACTCATCTTAAAATAGGTGGGTTTTTCAGGAAGCAGTTATTTGCAGGGTCTTGTTTGAGGCCATACTCTTGGCTGGCTGCAGTTGTTCCCTTGATTTAGGGTTCTGGGTGAGTCCATGTACCCTTTGTCTCTATCCAGCCTATAGAGACAGGCATCTGTGAGCGTTTCCACAGTGCAAAGACTGTCATCTCCACTGCCACAGAGACAGACTCTGTGAGGGAAATATAGCTTATTCTGTGTGGTTTCTCACTTAGCCCCAACTCCAGGTCCAAGGAGGTTCCTGCCTTCTAAAAACAAGGAATTGGTTTGGTACCAGAGGCTGTATCCTTTACCTACAGGAAGTATATTTTTGCAGGTCTTTTCTGAGGTCTCCAGCTCCTACGTTGTTCCCTCTCTGTAGCGTCCTTTCTTCTTTGCCTTCTGTGAAGTAGAAGAGTCCTTGCCTGAGCTCTTTTCTTTTGACAGCTTTTCCACCTGTTTGGGGGTTTGGGTTTTTGTTTTTGTTTTTTGAGACAGGGTCTTGCCATGTTGTCCAGGCTGGACTTGAACTTCTGGGCTCAAGAGATCTTCCCACCTCAGCCTCCCAGAGGTTGGAATTTTAGATATCTTCTAGTTTTGTTGAAAATGGAGTTTCTGTTTTTTTCCCCACATTTGGTATATTTTGAATAGCATTTCAAAATGCTGACTTCATTATGCAATGTTCAAATCAGAAGTTTTAACTGATTTTTTTCTACTAACCAACTACTAGTCTCCATGACATCATATATTACCCCTTTTACTATACCTTCCCCATAAAGCTTCCACCACCACACTGTTGTCCATCTTCTAAGTCCCTGAAGTCCAAGGAATATGCTACTCAGATGTACAAAAAGCCTTTCATTCATTCAACATGCCTGCTTTGCACTGGGCATTGTTCTAGGCCTTGGAGATAAAGCATGGAAGAATTCATACAAGATCTTGACACACTAAAGGCAAGTCTTAAAACGATCCCATATGGACTAGGGATAAGGGATACATAAAGTGGAAGACTCAGTTTGGGATTTTGAGGAAGCATGGTGCAAAGCTGCAGAAGCTGTGGTCCCCAGCCCCTGGGCCACAGCCCAGTAACAGTCCATGGCCTATTAGGAACTGGCCGTGGGCCTGGCATCGCCACCTGAGCTCTGCCCCACCCCTCCCATCTCCTACTCCCATCCCACCCCCACCCCAGATGGAAAAATTGTCTTCTGTGAAACTGGCCCCTGGTACCAAAAAGGTTGGGGACCGCTGGTCTAAAGGATAGAATGGGAGCTCTGGAGTCAGACAGACCTAGATTTGGTACTCATTTGTGCTACTGATATACATGACATTGGGGTAATTTTATTGAGCTCTTCATATATAAAATTGATCCATTTCTTCATATGTAAGAGGATGATTGCATTACCTACCTCAGATGGATGTTGTAAAATTAAAATGAGTTACATAAAGTACTTGGCACATATATTTAACAAGATATAGATTCAACTTGTAGATATTCAACAAGTATATTTTCCACCCATGAAGAAAGGATTGATTAAACAAAAGGTGTAAATACTAAAAGTATGAGTATAGAGGCCTATGTCTTTCCTTTTTAAAAAAAAACATTGTAGTAAAACATACATAACAAAGTTTACCATCTTCACCATTTCTAAGCTTACGGTGCTGTGGGGTTAAGCACATTCACACTGTTGTGCAGCCGTCACCACCATCCATCTCCAGAGCTCGTCACCTTGCAGAGTGGAAACTCTGTACACATGAAGCACCAGTCACCGTCCCCTCTCCCCCAGCCGCAGCAGCCACCATTCTACTTTCTGTCTCTATGAATTTGACTAGTCCCCGTACCTCATGTAAGTGGAATCGTATAATAGTACTCATTCTTTTGTGACTGGCTTATTTCATGTATCTTAGTATTTTTAAGGTTCATCTACATTGTAGCATGTGTCAGAGTTCCCTTCCTTTTTACAGTACATCTCATTTCAGACAAAAAAAAAATCCCTTTTTTTAAAATTTCAAAATATTAAGGGGGTACAAATGTTTTAGGTTACATGGATCACATTTGTAATGCTTGAGTATGGCTACAGGTGTGCCCATCATCCAAATGGTGTTCATTGTACCTATTAGGTAGGTTTTTGCCCCTCCCATCCTCCCTCTCCCCCTCCCCCACTTGATTTCCACTGAGTTGTACTTCCTTCTGTGCACATGTGTGCTCATCGGTTAGTTCCAGTTTAATAGTAAGTGCATGTGGTATTTGTTTTTCCATTCTTGAGATACTTCACTTAGGACAGTGGTCTCCAGTTCCATCCAAATTGTTGCAAAAGGCATATTAATTCATCCTTTTTTACCCTTCCTTTTTAAGGTTGGATAGTATGCCATTGTATTTATATAAGACATTTTATTTATTCATTCATCTGTTGTACACTTGGGTAGCTTCTGTCTTTGGCTATTGTGAATGATACTGCTGTGAACGAACTTGGGTGTACAAATATCTCTTCGAACCCCTGCTTTCAGTTCTCTTGAGCATATACCCAGAAGCCAGAAGTGGAATTGCTGGGTCATATGGTAATTTTGTTTTTAATTTTTTGAGGAACTGTCATATTATTTTCTGAGGCCTATTTCTTTTCTTTCTGTTTTCTTTCTTTTTTAAAAAAAGAGACAACTGTCTCAAACTCCTGGGGCCTCCAGCACTCCTCCCACCTAGACCTCCCGAAATGCTGAGATTAAAGGTGTGAGCCACCATGCCCAGCCCAGATGCCAATTTCTTGTTAGCGAAGTATAAACAGTAGTATTCTCCAAGGAATAATTTTAAAACTAGCCTTGTTGGCCAGGCGCGGTGGCTCACACCTATAATCCTAGCACTCTGGGAGGCCGAGACGGGTGGATTGCTCGAGGTCAGGAGTTCAAAACCAGCCTGAGCAAGAGTGAGACCCCTCTCTACTATAAATAGAAAGAAATTAATTGGCCAACTAATATATATAGAAAAAATTAGCTGGGCACGGTGGTGCATGCCTGTAGTCCCAGCTGCTCGGGAGGCTGAGGCAGCAGGATCGCTTGAGGCTAGGAGTTTGAGGTTGCTGTGAGCTAGGCTGACACCACAGCACTCACTCTAGCCTGGGCAACAAAGTGAGACTCTGTCTCAAAAAAATAAATAAATAAAAAATAAAACTAGTCTTGTTTAACATTTTATAAATATCTAAATATGAAACTTTTAGCATTAGATCTTATTTGCATATATATAGATCATGAATATTTCATATTGTATAAAATTTAAGAATACCTCATGAGAGAATGTGTGTGTAGACAGAAAAGTGGTTAATAAGGCTCAATGTGGGCATATATAAGAGAGTATACCTGATTTATTGTACTCGCTTCCCAAGATTAGAAGAAATATTTCTAGTTGTATCTGTTAATATATTCCCTCTGCTTACTGAGGGAAAAATATAAAGAACTAATGTGCCAGAAAACTTCAGATGTCAAAATTGCACAAGTGCACAGACATGCAAACACAACTTTTTTTCAATTGTTCATTGCCCTATAGAGTAAATTGGTGCTTGACTTTAGACTGTAGACCAGTGGTTCTCAACTGGGGTGAGTTTGCCCCCAGTAGATATTTGACAATGTCTGGAGACATTTTTGGTTGTCACTGATGGAGGGGTGGTGCTACTGGCGTCTAGTGGGTAGAGACCAGGAATGCTGCTGAACATGCTACAATGCACAGGACAGCTCCACAACAGAAAATTATTCAACCCAAAATGTCACTAGTGCCCAGGCTGAGAAGCCCTGTGCCAGACCCAAGTTACCTTCACAGCCTTGTCTTTAACCTGTCTCTTGTATAATAAAGCTGCCATCCCAGGCAGGCCCAGGAGCTCTCCACACCTGTCTATACACCAGCTGAATTGCTTCTTCTGATGCCTTCCATCTGTCCCTGCTTCTCCGATGTCAGAGCCCTGCTTCCGTCTTCCCACTATCTCTTTGTAGCTCTCTGATTTCTCCAGCCACTGTTCTCTTTCTTCTCTGACCTCCTTTAGGACTAAGTGCCACTAACTTGGTACTTAGTTATCAATAGAAGGTGGTACTTTCTAGCTTCCCAACTTGACTGAATGCATCTTGAAGGTCATGTTGTTATGATTTGGTTTGAAATATGAAGTGCCACCCCTTATAAATTCCAGTGGGCAGCTCTGACTTGACCTACCCAGGGCTTTCTGTGACAGCTTTCCTGCCACCATAGAGTACAGTGGTTGAGTCACTTTTGTTCCATCACAGCAGTTGAGGACACTGAGATTCAGCTGTGTTTAGAGTGCTACTAGCTAGATGGAATCTGAGCCCAAATGTAAGCCTCGTGCTTAGACAAGTATTTATGCTGAACCTACTTTCTTATCTAAGCTGTAAGCAATAGGGTGAGGATAGGTGTAAAGGAATGGGCTCTGTCTTGCTCTAGTCACTTCCTCCTAAGGAGGCAGGCTGGAGGATCTGCCTATGGAACCTGGGAGACATTGCATTGCAGCTGCTTGGACAGGGATTATTCCGTCAAAGTTGCACCTACTTAATGTCAGTCAGTCAGTGTTGATGATGATAATGTTAGTAATGACAACCATCACTACTTAGAGCCCAGTGTGTCCCGGGACCAGGCTAGATGCTTTACACACATTATCTCATCCAGCCTTCGCCGCAGTCCTGGAAGGAAGCTGAAGCACTGAAAGGATAATTTGCCCAAGGTCACCCAGCAAGCAGAGCTAGAATGTAAACAAAATCTGTCTGACTTCAAAGCCTGTGCTGTCCACTGCCACCTCACTGTCTTGGGTATAGCCGGTACCTACCTTTGTGCAGTGTTCTGACCCTTCTTATTTTTGCTTCCACTTTAGGTGCACTACATCCTCCAGGAGGTGGTGATGGGTGGGATGGTGTTGGAAACAAACATGAATGAAATTGTGGCTCAGATTGAAGCTCAAAATAGGCTGGAGAAATCCGAGGTGAGTAAGCAGCTGTGCTCCACCCTGGCTGGGTAGAGAAGTCCTGGGCAGAGGGAGGAATGCGTACGTGTATTGGTTTGTGTTGTTGGAGAACCTCAGGAAATGTTTTATACTCATCTTCTTTCTTCCTTGAGCCCATCAAAACTGATAGATTTGAAGGTCCACTCTTAAAATTAGACATATAATGAGGTTTGAAATCTCAGACTATTAGCCTAGAAGTGTGAATGTTAAAGCCAGATGGTAGAGGAAGGCAAACAGCTCTGGCTTAGGGGATATGGCCCGTGTTTGTGGTTTGTAATTTCTCTTTTCAAAGCCACACATTCCCTGGAGGGACCCAGAATCCCCTTCTCCAATTCCCGTGGTTTCCTAGTTTCTGTGCTATACGAGTCTGGTCTCCCAGCAGCCATTTCTCTTGGTGTCTTTCAGACCTCAGAGTTGCCAGTTTCCTTATTTCCAGTTAGGCTTATAAAAAGCTACAGTAGAGTTTGGGCTGGGTTTGAAAATAACACACCCCACTCCACCCCCACATTGATACAGATGTTCACAGTAAATTCTGTCCTATCTCCTGAGGTCTTTCCATCCCCTTCCTCAGCTTTACCAGGGAGCAGAGGTTACAGACATTTGCTTTTACATGCAGAAATAGCAGAACAAATTAGCTCTTTAATTATCTAAGTGTCTTAAAGAGCTTTTTTGCTTTGTGTAACGGAACTTGATCTTGCGAAACCAGGAATTCTTCTCTCTGGGAGGACTGGCAGTCCTGCTGAAGAAGCTTTTCCAGACCACAGCTATTGTGGCGGCTATAGTTCTTTTAGAACTGCGGCTGGGAAGCATCCAGGAATAGTAAGTGAGTCAGAGGCAAGGGGTATGGAAACGAGAAGCAATGGAGACTTGCTGGGTAAGGGTGGAAGTGGAGTAGGCGTCCTGAAAGTGGTAATAAGGCAAAAATGATTTTGAAAGAGTCTTTGTCAACTTCTCCCTGTCTGTCCACACTGGAGTGAGCCTGGAGGGCGGGTGTTGGCTGTAGGCATCTTTACTCTTTGTGTTTCGTTACCTTCTGAGTCGTGGTACACCCCACCTCCCACATGTCCGTGCCTCCCAGCTTGTTGCCACATGACATTTCCAAAGCCAGCTCTTTTCCGTCTCACATCATTAGTTGGCAAGCAGTTGCCGTAGAGCTGTGACATTCCTTTTCCTTTTAAGAATTTTCCTGTGACTTTGCAGTCATCAATAAGAGTCTTCAGTCTCTTAAGCAGGGGTCCTCAAACTTTTTAAACTGGCGCCAGTTCACTGTCCCTCAGACCGTTGGAGAGTGCGCACTGTGGGCCTGGGATGAGTCAGCTGCTAAGCAGAATAGGCAGCAGCAGCCCAGTGGGCCCAATAAATGTCTTAGGTGGGCGGCATGTGGCCCGTGGGCTATAGTTTGAGGATGTCTGCTCCTAAGGAAAGGGTGTTTTTTAAATTTTGTAACCAGAAAAGTGCCCCTGATTGTCGCGCCCGCCTCGGCAGCAAGGAAGACGCGGCAACCGGAGTTCTTCTGACCGTGCTTTAATGGGGTTCCCTTTAGGCTTACATGATACGGAAGACCCTGAGCACAAGCTCTCACACACTTATATACTCTAAGGAAAGGGGGGAAGTGATGGGGATAGGTTAAAAGCGCGCGAGGGTTGTTACTGATAGGCCAAGCTAAGATCCTTCATATGCATACTTAATGAGACAGGAAAAGCCCCTACACCTGCGCGGTTCACCCTGTTTATCAGTCCTGTAGTATCGGCGTGACCAGAAAGCCGGCGCCATCTTGCAATGGCGTTAACACCGCGCCCCACACCTGATACTTAATATCACTTGGATAAACCATTTTCTGTTATTTCAGCAAGCATTTATTGAGCACCCACCATGGGGCAGGCTCTGCTAGATGCTGCGGCTGTGAGACTATGTGAGGCGCACTCCGCCTGTGAAGCTGTGTGATCTGGTATGCCTGCGGACTTCACAGCCCTGGACCAGACCCCATCTAACCTAAAGATTGCTTTGTTGGCTACCTTTGAGGAATAAGGAGGAAAAATGAAAACTTCTGTTGTGTGTGTTCAGTTTCCAATTTTTCTAGGCCTCCCTCACCTGTTATTTTGTTTGTTTGGTTTTGGTTTTTTAGCATTAAGCAAATGTCGCTGAGAATTTGTCTCATCCCCACCTCCCATTTCTCCTCAGGGTGGCCTTTCAGCAGCCCCTGCACGGGCGGTTTCTGCGGTGAAAAACATCAACCTGCCTGAGATTCCTCGGAACATCAACATTGGTGATCTCAATATCAAAGTCCCCAACCTGTCCCAGTTTGTCTGAGGGCGGAGGATTGGGCTGAACTGGAGTCCTTAAAACAAGCAAAGCCAAGCAAGTCTGGAAACAGAACCCATTTTGAGCCTTAGAAGAGTCAAGCCTCAGGACTCTGAACCTTTCTGTCTGGGGAAGACTGTTTGGCATGGGAGGGGAAGGGGTTCATGTGCACACTGCCTGGGTGTGCTCAGTTCTCCCACGTGCAGCCGTGTTGCCCTCCACGCACACGGCCGCTGCAGGGGTGAGGGGCCTGCCGTCCTCAGAGGGAGTCGGCGAGCCCAAGCCACCCGTACCTTTGCCTCTCACACACAGCCGCTCCCAGGGATCGGGGACTGTACTGAGCAGGCCCACTTGCTTCCCATAACCCCAGCACGAGGACTGAGCACATTCTCTGACTAGCATCTTCATCCTTAGCACGACGGGCTTCTGAGGTCCTGTAGCATTTACTTGCTGGTGAGGTACCCTAGGTAGAAAAGGGCTGGCCCTTCAGATTTGGGGATGTGGTGAGCAAGTAAGGGCAGGTTTTATGAGAACCAGAGTCACCTGCTGGCTCTACAAAGATCGTTAATGCCCAGAATTCTTGTATAGCCAGGCCTTTTGGTTACCACCTCCTGCAGAATACGTTCCCTTGCTGTCTTAGTCTCAGTTCTGTTCTCACAGGCATTTGTGTGCAGGACACAGTCCCAGTCACACCCCTGGTGCATGCCCACCACATTGCAGCTGCTCGGGAGCACCCCTCACACACACTCGCCGGAGAGGCCCCTCCTCACGGAGGAGAAGCCCTGTGTCTGTAGAAGGTTAAGCCAACAACACGTGGAATATCCCAGAATTATGACTCTTCCCACATTTAAAATACATTCTCCTCACGGGAGCAGAAGGTCCAGTTGCTGTGTTAAGAATGATGAGTCGTCTCCGTAGGAAACCCACTGCCACCTGTACCAGCTTCTGGAGCATGAGAGCCTGAGCCAGGGCCACCCATCTGAGGCCCAGATACAGGAAGTGTGCTCGCCGAGACTAGTAGCAGTGCTGCATCTTCTCCCCTCCCTGGACTCTGCTCGTGTTCCCTCAGGTGACGTTCTCCCAGAGCTTTGGAGACCCATAAATGTTTACATGTGATAAGTCTTTCTTCTGTGGTTACTTTAGAGCTAAAACTTCTCCTACACTGTCTCATAGGCTGGGTCTCAGGTCTGGTGTGGAGCCTTGAGATTACGGAGCTGACTCTACTGTCACGTCAAATGTCCCAGCCTGGGTCTTTGTCAGACCTGCTGGCTGGGGACGCAGACTGTTTGCTCAGGCCTCCTGGTGCTGTTGCAGAGCAAGCTGGAGAGGGCGCCGAGCAGGGCCGTGTGTCAGGGCCGTGTCGTTTTCTGTTTTTGAACAGTGCTTCCTGTGTGTGTGCCCATTGCTCCCTGCTGCCTCTTGTCCTCGCTCTTTCAGTCCCTCTGTGATAACCTCAGAGATGGGTGATGGTGACCAGAAGGTCAGCCTTTTATGTTGGAAGAGGGAAATGTAGGTGAATAGATCTGCTGTCAAAACCCCTAATAACATTCTTTTAAAGGTTTCTTGATCTTTTTGGCAGACATATTTAGCACATTGACATTTTTGTGAAATCAGAAAAAAAGGAAGGAAACCATTGTTTATTTTGCATCCATAAATTGGCATGAGCAAGATCCTTCGACAGTCCTTATAGCAGACATTCTTATCCCCATTTTGTAGATGAAGAGAGAAGAGTGAGACATGTCAAGTAACCTCCCAGGTCACACAGGACTGAGATTTGAGACCGTCTGCCTACTTGACTCCAAAGTCCTTTTATTTCTTTCCTCACTGCTTAAGATGGCTTCTCCTAATTTTATTATCTTCTTTTCCATAGATAAAGAAACGTGACTCACACTTAGAATATCAGTGCTTTGGAAGGCCGAGGTGGGAGAATCGCTTGAGGACAGGAGTTTGAGACCAGCCTAGGCAACATAGACACCCTATCTCTACAAAAAAATAAAAAATTAGCCAAGTGTGGTGGTACACACCTATAGTCCTAGCTACTCAGGAGGCTAAAGTGGGAGGATGGCTTGAGGCCCAGGAAGTTGAGGCTGCATTAAGCTAAGATAGCACTACTGCATTCCAGCCTGGGTCACAATGAGACTGTGTCTCTCTTTAAAAAAAGAAAAGAAAACTCAGAGATTAAGTAACGTCACAAACTGCAATAAAATTAGGCTTGGAGGCCAGGCATAGTGGCTCACACCTGTAATCCTAGCATTCTGAGAGGCCGAGGCAGGAGGAATGCTCAGCCTGAGCAAGAGTGAGATTCCTGTCTCTACAACAAAATTAGTCGGGTTTGGTAGTGTACACAGCTCTTCGTGAGGCTGAGGCAGGAGGATGAGGTAGGAGGATCACTTGAGCCCAGGAGTTTGAGGCTGCACTAAGGTATGATGACACCACTGTACTCTAGCCCAGGAACTAAGCTAGACTCTGTCTCAAAAAAAAAGAAAAAAAACAGGCTTGGTTTTCTAAGGCATCCAGCAGTGACCACATTGTAGAGTATAAGAGTCGAAGGGGTCCTCTGTGTCCCTCCATTTTAACTGACAAGGAAGCCAAAGCCCAGACTTTTGAGTGTTGTGTTGAGAGTCACAAAGCTAGAGCCACATCATTTTTCTCTACTTCATTTGTTATGTGGTTTATGCTGCAGGACAGCCACATGTGCTAGATTTCCCTGGCACAGTCTTGATTTCAAATGTTTTGCCTACCAGAAGCCAACAGTTCCCCAAATCACTTAGCAGTCCTATAGATTCAAAAGTGAGCCTCCAAAAACATGCCTCACCCTGCTTAAAGTAGCATAAACTTCAGCCTGGTTTTTTATTCGGAAAACTCAAGCCACAATAATTGTTCATTGACTACTTGAGGTTGCTTGCAAATTCAGCCAGCTTTCCAGCCTGCTATCAGCAAAGCCATAAGTATCTTAAAAAAAAAAAAAAAATAGGTTAAGAGGAAATGCTTATTAGCCTTGTTTTAGAGAAGGGGAGAGATTTTGCTGCTGAGAGATACCAGTTATGATGTGATATATCAGTTATGATATCCGCTGGGTTTGAATTTACTTTGGGAGTCCTTGGTCCTGGATGGTTTCCACTGAGGATTTGCTGAGGTTGTAGAGAATACTGGGTCTTCAGTGCTCACTGCCACTAATTAAAATCTAAAATTCTTCCATTATACAACATTTAAGTGTCTGGTGAGAGCCAAGCTCGGTTGGGCTCTGAAGATTGAGAGATGAGGCTCTGCTTCCTACTGTTGCCTCTGCGAGCATCTTTGATAGGGCACTCACATTATTGAGATGTGGGGAGTCTGACTGGTGGCCTGAAGTTGTGGAGACTGGAGTAGTGGCTTTGTGAAAATACATGGAATATTTAAAGGACAATAACTGATTTCCTACCCCTTAGCTGACCACAATCATGCCCTGCTGGGCCATGCTCCAAGCAGCCTGTCTTCTAGGCCTGGTCATGGACCTGAGGAATATTGTTCCCACGTTGAGGGTTGAGTCAGGATGTCTTGAGTCCTCTCACATTCCTGCTTATTCAGGCCTCTGCCACATATAGAGCCAGCCCGCCCTCCCCCCACCTCCACCACCACGGAGCCAACTTAGTGAAGCCCTTTCTGACCCCAGCTTCACCAGAAAAGAAACCAGGGGACATGGCCAAAACCAGGTTGTTGGTTAAATCTTATCTTGTGGACCAGTTTTTGTTTGTTTTTTTAGACAGAGTCTCACTCTGTTCCCCTGGCTAGAGTGCCGTGGCATCAGCCTAGCTCACAGCAACCTCACACTCCTGGGCCCAAGCAATCCTTCTGCCTCAGCCTCGCAAGTAGCTGGGACTACAGGCATGCGCCACCATGCCCAGCTAATTTTTTCTATATATTTTTAGTTTTCCAATTAATTTCTATTTATAGTAGAGACGGGGTCTCACTCTTGCTCAGGCTGGTTTTGAACTTCTGACCTCAAGCAATCCACCCGCCTAGGCCTCCCAGAGTGTTAGGATTACAGGCGTGAGCCACCGCACCCAGCCTGGACCAGTCATGTTTTTTTGTTTTTTTGTTGTTTTTTTTTTTTGAGACAAGAGTTTCGCTTTGTTGTCCAGGCTAGAGTGAGTGCCGTGGCGTCAGCCTAGCGCACAGCAACCTCAAACTCCTGGGCTCAAGCAATCCTACTGCCTCAGCCTCCCAAGTAGCTGGGACTACAGGCATGTGCCACCATGCCCGGCTAATATTTTCTCTATATGTTGGCCAATCAGTTTCTTTCTATTTATAGTAGAGAGGAGGTCTCGCTTTGCTCAGGCTGGTTTCTAACTCCTGACCTGGAGCAATCCGCCCGCCTCGGCCTCCCAGAGTGCTCGGATTACAGGTGTGAGCCACCGTGCCCAACCTGGACCAGTCTTTAGTAGGTAGTTTCAGTGTGACCGTTCGTCCACAGCTTTCCAAATAGGATGCAGTGGTGATTGTTACGTGAAAATGAAGATCAGGAATGTGGTCTAGTCCAAGTTTAGCAGTGGCCAAAATGGAAAGCCACTAAAGAATGAGAGACAGAGGGGAGTTTGTTGACTCCTAGCAAACGTCCTGATTTTCAATCTCCGAAGTCTACCCTACCGTGAGAGTGTGCCCACCTCCCTCTGTATTAATGGTTAGCCTAGTGTCCACCTGCACTCATGCCAGCACGTGTCGGAGCTCGCAGGTTGGTGAGTGGCTGTTCTTAAGGCTAAGACTGTTTGCCCTCTTGGGAGCACTGGAGGAACCCATATCTGTGACGTTCTGGCGGAAGTTGGCAGATACGAAAACAGGCTCCCAGTAGGGAACTAGTTCCATGAAAATGAATAATCCTTTCCAAGAGAGTGTTAAAATTCTTTCCTCTTTCAATTTTTCCTTTCAACAAAGGAAATACATGCAAATAGTTCAAAATTTAAGAAAACAAAAGGCTGTTCAGGAAACAACTCCCACCCTGTTTCCCCAAACACTGAGCCCCCCATCCTGGGGAGCAGCGAGTGTTTCCAATTTAAAGGATTAAGAAACAAAAGTCCCTGCACTTTTATTACCAAAACTGAGGGTATGTCTTCCTGAAAGTCTAAGTTATGTTCCATTTGACTTTGGGGGTTGACCCCAGCCTGCCACAATCATGCCACCCTCTTAAGGGAGAAGGCACTCCCACCCAGGTCACCCCAGATAGAGCAGCACCCCCACCTCAGCACCACCTGTCCTTGCTCAGCCACACCTTTTCCCATGGCACTCTGACATGCTGTACGTTTGGTTTCTTGAGTTCTTTTCTGTTTCCCCTGCTAGGATGGGGTTTGCTCTTGTTCAGTGCTGCATCCCAGCTGCTATGGACAGTGCCTGGTCCATCATGCTCAGCAGATAACTGTTGAATGAGTAAAGGGTGGAGGCAAATGCTAATTCCTTCTCACAGCCTCTTACGGCATGTGCTCTCCGGGCTCCTGTGTCACCACTTTGGGAAGGAGAACCTGGGTGGTGGCACTGGGAGCAGGCCATGGGGAGGTTTAGCCTATGCAGGATGAAGGAGAGGAGAAAGGCAAAGCGGACGGTGGCAGGTGGCCCCCGTGTGGCTGCAGCAGCCATGGGGACGGGGCTCTGGAGAGAGAAGGAGGTGGATTGGGAGGGACAGTGGTCAAGAGTTTGGACGTGGACATGTGAGGTTCGAGACTGGCTTGGGGCGGAAGTGCACCGGCCAGCTGGGAAACCGAGTGGGCAGGAGAGGAGATGAGCGTCTGTAGAGAGGTGACAGTTGGAGCTGTGGGGGCGAGCACAGCCGGCCACAGGACGAGAGGGCTGAGGCTGAGCCTGTGGGCCGGGGAAGGGAGGGGATCGAGATGGTGGAGTGACTCCAGGCCAAGGAAGGACTTGCAGTGGGCGGGACTCCAACAAGAGATGCCCTCCCTTGGGCTTGCAGCCACCCCAGCCAAGCGCCCCTTCGAGAACTTTGACGATGCGGTCTGCACTGGTGGGGGGGCAAACGGTAGGTTGGGTGTATGAGAGTGGGGCACCATCCAGCCCTGCAAAACAGTCTGAGCCTTTGCAAGATCAGTTTCCTCATCCATCAAAGGGGGTAACGCATCCTGCCTCGGGGGGTTATT